CTTCTTCCATGTAACATCCAAACATACGCTCATTCTTCTAAATTACATATATAGACAAGCCATTCAGAGTTTGGCATAACACACTCCTATTACTCAACTTATCTTTGAAGTGCCATAGGAAAATTGCCGACCTTTCACTTTCCTGTAGATACAGTTAGCACGTTCCTGTGTCCATTTCTTCGAAATATATTTGAAAAAACCGTATCAAAACTTGCTACCACAAAACTTCCAGAATCTCTGATGAAAAATTATTTCCAATAACTTTCAACCTCCAAATTTCGAGGACAAATCCACTACCTATTTTCATTTTTATTCTTCCTATAATGCACGATGTTCTTCGTACATATTTCTCATTGTTGACTCAATTATGTTGCCGTACAGCAGTTCTACTCGTCCTGACGAACTCGTTGTGTTGCTTGTCAACTAAAATTCGTGAACAATATAGCGACAAAATCATCTTGAATATTCAGAACATCGTCATTTCACATTCTCCTTGGACAAATGATCCCACTTCAGCATTGTTCAATTCACATCGATTGATGCATGAACAGATCGAACTGGAATCTGAAAATGTTGGGAACTTCGTGAATAATTTTCTCATACTGATTTTCTACCTATACCTATAACTCTTAGATAAATGTATGGTCATTATCTTAATATAATGAACTTAATTTCAAAAGTGAATAATTGGAGGTTAGCAATCTCCATTAGACCATGAATAATTATACACCTCTTGGGTTTGATAGCTATAATGATTCAAGAAATATAGAATGATTAAGTTACATTTCAATGAAATGTCATGAGCATATGCTCTGAATGATTCGTTAGATATGGGACGTTGAATCTCACAAATTTCCAACAGAAGACTGAATATACTGTGGGTGACACTTATTTCGATTGCCACTGTGGATGGAATCAACAAGGCTATTCCAGTATTTCAGTATTCAGTATTCAGTATTTAGTATTCAATACATTTTTCAGGTGGATCCTGTAATATCTGTATGCACAGTTTAATCCGTTCGAGATGTTCGAATACTTGAAATTTTCAATCTTTATTTTGTGAGGAATTGAACCAAGTTGAATATATCAGTATTAGGCATTAATCATTCCCTCGGATTATGTGATACAACGAGTATTTGAATACCGAGGGAATTATCTTTCCTAATATTCATTCAGTGAAGAAAAATCAGCACTACCCCAAATCACGAAATCAGTGTTTGCTCAAAACTGAATTTTATTGATTATGATCGACTCCGCCATATGGGAAAGTTGATGATTATAATTCAAGTTATACATGAAAAAAATGAGTGGGTTTCTCAACGGATTTATATCTTCTGCGGTAATGAATCCGAATTTGAGCTTTGCGAACGAAATTTATTGAAGCGTTCTGTTATAATTGCTGAAAACAGTGAAGTTTTTCATCTATCTCGAATTTAATCTATGGTAAAAGTCCATGGTATCTCGAAGTGGAGTGGATAAATCCATAAGCAAGACACACTAAGTCATCTCCACAAAATTATCATCAAAATTATCAGTGTCTAAACATGTTTCGCACTTTCAATAGTCTATCATCATTCGAAAATATGCTTCTGCTGATGATGGACTATTGATAGTCTGAAACATGTTCAGACACTGACAATTCAGATAATGAATTCGTGGAGATGACTCAGTGTGTCTTGCTTAGTTTTTTGCTGTAGCTCAGAAACATTGCCATACATCTGAGGAACCACACTATATGGAAGTCCGATCATGCATCAACGTGTCATCTGGCCACCGTCGACAATTCAATATGTTCTACACAGCTTCATCTGACCGAGTATAAATATCACCAGGATTGATACTCCATCTAGGTTCTCAACACAGTTTCATGTGAGCAATGATACATCTCACCATGCCCCACACATCATCTGGATGATCGACAAAGCTCCATCTCACAATCTCAACAGATTCGACAGTCTATCTGCCAAAGAAGTACCTGGCCAGGCTTGACACTTCATCAGGATGATGAATACAACTGCATCTGGTTAAGAAAGCATCTTACCAGACTCGATACTCTACCTGAATAATCAACACAATTTTATGAGACCAAGGAATCATCCAGCAAGTCCGAACATTTCATCTCTACATAAACAACATAGATTCAGCCGGCTAGAAATACATGTTACCACCCTCGAAAATTCTAAATTATATTCATCGCTCCATCTATCTGAGAATACATACAGCCACTCTCGAGAATTCATCTTGATGATCAGCACAGCTTCCTCTGGCCAGAAATTCATCTCACCAGGCACGACATTCCATCAGCTAATGATATATATCTCACCAGGCTCGACAATTCTAGATTATATTCACCGCTCCATCTGTCTACGAATTCATGGAGCCACTCTCAACAATTCATCTTGATGATCATTTTGGCGCCGTGGCCGAGTTTGTTTATGCGTTGAAATTCGCTAGATAGCCGTTAACGATACCAAGGTACTGTCGGTTCGGATCCGGCTATCGGCAGAGCATCTTTCTTCAAAATGTGTGATTCATGGTTGAAATCCTGGCAGCACTTCGATGCCCTAGAAGTGGTTAGAATTCCAGTATAAGCTGTAGGTCCCGCTTTCCCTAATCCCACATAAGTTCCGACTTCTGGGGAGTTCGTACCCAACTTTGAATTAGCGATATACAAAAAAAAAATCAACACAGCTTCTTCTGGCCACGAATTCATCTCACCAGGCACGACATTCCATCAGCCAATGACATATCTTACTAGGCTCGAATATTCCAGATTATATTCGCCGCTCCATTCGTCTGAAAATACATAGCCACTCTTGACAATTCATCTTGATGATCAACAAAGCTTCATCTGGCCAGGAATTCATCTCACCAGGTACGACATCTCATCAGTCAATGTTATATCTCAAAACGCTCGACAATTTTAGGTAATACTTACCGCTCCATCTGTCTAAGAATGCATAAAGTCAATCTCGACAATCCATCTTGATGATCATCATCAGGCTCGACACTCCATCTAGATATCCACCGCACAGTTTCATGTGTCCAAGGATACATATAACTAGGAACCCCATTTCATCTGGATAAACAACCCAGCCCCATGTTGCGAAGAATACATCTCACCAGGCTCAACACTCACAGGTTCGACACTTCATTTATAAAAACAGCACAACTCTATGTATTCAAGGATATTGAAGGCACTCATACAACCAAAACGACTTCATCTGGTGTTATAATTATCAATATCTAATTGCCAGTTTGATAACACTTCTTAATCTTAATACCTATAGCAATATTTTGGCTACGGCTATGATGCTTTTCGTTCTGTATATCCTTCAGGACATAATTCTATTCTGATGAATTCTTCAGTAGATGTCAAACAAGTTGGCTGTTCATAACTTTGCATGATAGTGAGTTTGTATCTCAGCGTAATTTGAATCTGGAGCGTTGACAAACTTGATTAATTTTAGTTGGGAGTTAATTGATCTAGGAAGGTATGTAATTCTTCTTGAGATTCAGCAATAGTTCCTTGTTTAAATGAGAATGCATATTTGTTATCTTTCATTACCGAATTAGACATCATTTTGAATATGAAGGAATGATTTTTTTTCTACTACGGCATAAGTACCGATAAGTTTCTAGGGTCACATGTCAATTATATCTACCTTCGTTTCAGAGGTACTAGGTGTTTTTAGAAATGTGCATACTTATTTGAAAAGGTGGAATTTGTTTTTCAACAAAACTGCTTGTTGTCGTGAGAACATTTTGCAAGCATTATGTTTGTCATAAAAATTGATCCTCAGGTACAAAAATTCGTCATCGTAGATCTAGTTTGAAAATAAAACTCTTCCTTGAAGATGAACAAGCTATATTTCTGAAATTGATATAAGAAGACTGATGATGCTCGAGAATCAGTTTTCATCACAAACTCAATATTTTGAACATTTTAGCCTGGAACATTATTTGTAGCCACTTTTCAAATATGCATATTCTCGAAAAATATCTCGTAACTCTTATACAAAGATAGTTATTGATATGCGGTACTTACAATTGGGTTTGCCATGAAAAATGTTCTCAGTATTTTTCAATCTTGTTCAAGAGTCATGTTGTTTGATGGTAAAAGGTCGTTTGAACGCTATTATAGATTTTCCAATAGAATGAAGGGTCGAATGACTATCAATCGGCATCTAGAAACGTTCTTAATGCAAAAATAATATTATCTTCGAGATGGTTCTTTTCTGACATTTTTCTGAATGGAGAACTCATCTCAATAGCCAGCTTGAGTGGAGAAATATGGTACGACATCCATCATTATTTCAATGAATATTATCTGGGGTCATGAAATAATTGAAATACCTTTCAAATCAGGTACCACATGACCCCTCACTCAATTGAAATAAGATCTCTCAAGATGGCGTTCTGACGAAATATAAATGTAGTACTTGAATGGCATTTGAAAGAGAAATGGAACTAAAAAAATCTCAACCGTTCAAAAGTTAACTAGAAGGAAGGATGGCCATTTCATCAACATAGGGTATATACCTCTGGAGGGAATTTTCAACTCCTTGAAAATGAATGAGAGATAAAATGATATGTTCCTCATTCTGAGATTATTTGACTCTACCAATCACCAGTTTATGCAGAATTCAATTATCAACTGCTAAATGGCATATCAAAGAAGTCTGAATTACTCATCTTCTTCTCCTTATTTCATTTTGTCATCTCTTTCTCTTGTACACTGTTGATAAAATAGCAATACTCACTTTCCTTTGCAATTCCAACTTTGACGTAAAAACAAGAAGAAAACATTTCGAGAGATGGAACTCATAAGGAATCTATTGAAAATAGTATAAGCTCGATACCTATTTTTTCTTTATATCTTAGCCAACAATAAATCTCGGACCAGCATGAATCAGCTGAATTTATCCTTTTCTCTCAGGATCCGACCGAATGTCGAAGATGAAAACTCGATCCAAGGGTTTTCTGGACGATATATTTACCTATTGAATTATCCTCGCTCGGTTGGAACTGATATTTCGCTTTGAAGCCTTGACCAGGCCAATCAGAATTCGCGACGAACTCGATGAAGAGGTCCGGTCCACTCGAGAGGATCTCGATCTCGCTCCCTTCATTACACAGCACCCTTATTGCGGGATCAGCTGCTGATTTTCCGTCATACACTCGGATGATGTCTGCCCTATTCAGGCAACTGAAAACAGACGTTGTGGATTACGGAGGAAACATCAGGAATTGATTAACGGGTAGATAAACAAGCATCGCCTAACCAAGACTTTGTTGGTGAATGTAATTAGGAATGGATTGGGATATGGGAATAAATACTGTCTGCAGAGGATGAATGAATTAATATTTCATCCTAGAGTGAATATTCAGCAGAGTAGTAATTCATTCAGGAAATAGAAATTACACATATCAGTTTTCTTTCGAAATCCACCAAGAATGGATTTGAAATAGTTAATCAGATCGGGTACAAATGTTGAGTCGAAAATTGATATTGCAATATTGAACTTCATGAAATTCATTCGAGATAAATCAGGATATTTTTCATTGAACTCCCGGCATGTTCTGCTGTCAATTCTTCCACAGTTTCATTTAATTATAAAAACATCCAGCAAAATCATCTTTGAGTGAATATTTCCTACTATAGTACTACCAAATATGATATAACAATTGTCGATAAAATTGCCGATTATTCTCCGACTTCACAATGACGAGTTATCATAAAATACGAAAATAAAACGAGTGCGTATCAAGAGTTGTATTTTCGCAAATTTTATGATAACGAGTAATTGTGAAGGAGAAGAATATTCAGGACAATTTCAGCGACACAAGTTGTATTTAACATGAGAATTTCACAATTTGTGCTCTTTCTCTTTTCTAATAATTGGAACTAGAATTTATTCAAATTCTTTTAGATACATACAAAGATGATTACAATTCATCACAATTGGAATTCTGTTCATTGAAAGAGCAGTTCTGAGATAATAATTGTTTGCTCATTGTTCGTCTCATTAGAGCTGTTACAAGAGTAAACGTTTTTGCTGGCATCGCTGAATGTAGAACTGGCACTCGCTCTCAATCTGATTGAATATGTTTTATCATTAGGAGCAATTTTATTGGGTTTTTGACAGTTGCGTGAAATTCTCAGAGTCATGGAACTTCAATTCAGGATGATAATGAAGAGATTACATGTTAGTTATCTTTGAAAATGGAGTTCATAGCCTACTATCTGATAATCATTGTAATGAAGACGAATTCATAACAAACTATATGAGAAAGTTGAGAAATTACATACACAGTTAACTAATGAAAAGTAACAGCTTCCAGAATAAGTGATAATATACATGGTGTTCCATTTGAAGAACTGAGTATCAGACATTTCCATGAGTCCCCGAAAGGAAGTCACTCCTGAGCCTCTTTCTATGCTGACACTGAGATCTGGAGCATTAGAATGATACCAAATGGTTTCACGAAGCTATACAGGGTATCCCGAAATCATAATATCATGAAATGATTTTAGTTTCAATGCATTGGGCATGGAAAGTTTATTTTTTGTACTGAGACGCATCTTATAATCACATGGCGTTTCTAAAATATTCAAGAAACATCATCTTCAGGAGTCCCATATTCCACTCATATTCATTGAAACATTCCTTCCTATTTTTTGTCGTATAAGCCGCACGTGAAGTTTGGCAGGCTAATTTTGGGAAACCCTGTATATGTGATTGCTGAACAATCTTCGCTAATCGTCGGTCATCCATCGTTTTTACTTATAGTGTGCGGAAAAAACCCAAGAGTGAACACAGAGTAACATCATTGAGTATATGTAACATCCAGTTTTATTGAATATAAAGAAAATGTCAGTATTCTCCCCAGAAACTTAACAAAAATCTACTTTTCTGCACTAGTGCGGGAAAGTGATATCTTCAACACTCGAATGAGTGCGGAGATCCAGAATTTTCCGCATGTTTGTAGTTGAAAATGGTATGTGAATTTACATTGCGGAAAAATGGTTATTTTTCAAGGGTCAAGTTCTGCACAGAAGTTTTGCTGATTATTTTCTATCGTAAAATATCACATAAAGGTATAGGAAATCATCATGAAATATTGTAAGGGATTCTATGATGATTCCAAAAATTGAATTACTTATATGCGGAGTGTTCTTTTCAGAATAACAAAGTTTACCTACTCCCTTCTGATATAAGCGGCAACACTGTACCTATTGATTAACACATTTTAGACTGATAGAGCATGTAAGCTACAGCCACAAATTTTCAAAATGATTTGTCGTTTTGACATCCAGGTACTTCTTATGTTCCATCCACCATGAAACACCTTGGAAATGATGACAAAAAAGAATTGCGGGCATCCCCTCAAATTTCAGATGAAGTAGCCGCACACGCATATACGTTTCAGTGTTATTGTTAGTGCACATCATCAGAAATGCATTTGCAGCTGCTTCATCTGATGATTAAGGTCGTAACATAATGTAGAGGAATAGAGAATGAGGAATAAAAAAATGCAGGTTGGCTAGTGGTCAATTTTAACCTTGAACGCGTTTTGAACCAATCATACTGCTATTCCTTATTCCTATTCCCTATTCTTGCGAATTGTGTTTGAACCTTTAGAGTTGGCTCAATAATTTGTTTTATGCACTAGCGGGCCGTGAAGTGCACTTTACCGCCCGGTTCTGCGGGCGTTAGTTAAGTTGCCCGCGGGATCATTATGGCCCATGGGCCGTATAAAGTGCACGCTACCGCCGGCCGTGAATAATGGCCCTCGGCTAGCGCCATCAAGCCATTATAAACGCCTACTTTACGCCCTTGATACATAAATAACTATTATGTCATTTTATGATATTTATTTGCTAACACTTCGAATTTTGTTACATAATAGGACTAAATGGATGGACTATAAATGGAAGTGTGTGTTGTATGGCATAATGTATGACACAAAGAAATCGAATCGAACGATATTTGAAAAAAAAGTGCACTCCCACCAATCGGATGTTGTGCTCGCACTACAGGTATTCTAATCCAGATATTGAGTTTGATACTGGTTCATCGGATATTATCTTTATACAGGGACGGAATACTCTTGAAAATATTGACGCTTTGTCACTAACTCAGCTTAGTTTGAATTGCAGCACGTTTGGATATTCGGAAAGAAGATTTAATTTCCCTTCAATTTGATTTTTTTTACAACTCGTTTTCACATTACCAGAGTTTGTGTGGATGCACGGCAGCAAATAAATCGCTGTGCCGTGGATTTGACTCAGACTGAGGGGTGGCACAGACAGGATATTGAGATCTACTATTAAATTGTTACCGAGTGTTCAAATCTTGTTATCAAATCGCAAAATTGAGTGTGAATTACCGCACAGGTGAATGCCATTGCTGCATCATTTTGCTCAGGATAGTGATTGACACAGGTGGTGTACGATGAAATACGATATTCTCACGTGCCTTTGAGACATATTATATTATTTCGTTGTCAGATGACGGTCGAAATTTGCAGCAGGCTCTTGGAAGTAACCGAAACATTTCAAACTAAAACTACCATAATCAATCCACCTGTCTCTTAGCACTTTGGACAGCGATTTGTATCAGTTCACGTGTAGTGATAGAATGAGGAAATTGAATAATTTATAGAATTCGTATCTTCTGTCTTATCGGCTAGGGTACGTAAGACAAACCATCAGTTGTTTCTTATTATGGTATATGATCATAGATGAGGAGAGCAACAGATTCTTATTTTTTTCATTTTTTGTTCAAAAATATCGATGAATAGGACAGTGTCAATAATTGGAACGTCTACCTCAGGATGGATAAGTTACCGCATGATTTATATGGGAATGTGGTAATAATGATAGTCTGCTGACTCAATAAGGATATATCATAAGTCTTATTCGACACTCTGTGTTATTTTGAAAACTAGAACAAGTTGTATTCATCCAGCAGTGGTCGTTTTTATACAAATTTTCTTATTCAATATGAACTACAAGCCCCCTGAAAATTCACTCCATTTCTGGGAGTAAATTAACACATCTGTCCCCTATTCCTTGCAGATATCGTAATAACGGTCATCAGATATCCAATTATGTTAAATCAATTTTTCTCCCAGTGAATAAATCTCTGATCGATGATTCTCGAAAGTTCTAGGCAAGTTTTAAATATGCCGACAGGAACAAATTCCTTCATTTCAATTTGTTCTGTTGCTTTCCATTATCCATTTTATGAATCCCTCACCTTAAGAAACTCCTTGTCTTTTATGTTCTAGTGTTCTCAATGTTAGTTAGTTAGTTATCTGATATTTTTCAAACTTGTCGTTTGAGCCATATATTACTTCAACAGTTATTTTTCATATTGGCTTCCTAATTTTGTAAGTTGAACGAAGGATACTCATAATAATATAGGTTAATTTACAAATATCCATACAAATAGCATTCTCAATAATCTGAACTGTTTCAATAGACAGTATATCAATATCGAATCGTGCATTATACAGTTCCATGAAAAAGCATCAAATACTCTCGAAGTCAATGAATAACTACGTTCTGAGGATGATCGTTTTATGCATAACTATCCCAATCGACGCTGATTAATATCATGGACTTTCGCGACAAGAAATTGTAACTATTGTTAATATACATTTGCTGGTTCTTTATTCCATCATCTAATTGTTGATGAAGACATGGCCACCTCTAATTGATATGAATCCACCCCACCAACATCAGCTGCAACATCGAAGAAGGGAAAATAAATATAATACAATGCTTGTCTGAGAAAGAAGAACTCATTATAAATCAATGAATTTCCATGAGTATTATTCAGAGCGAACTGTCCCCATTGTCTGAGAATCAGAGTTACTGACACAGCGTTGAGAAAATGGAACTAGCTCTCAATTCAAAATAATATTATAAATTTGGAAAATTACAGACACACACACTATAACTAGTGATTGTACAAAAAGGAAAATTAACAACGTTTATTGATGGTTTCTCGAAATTTCTACAACAGTGGTATTCATGATCGCACAGGCACTTGAGGCACTTCACCAGACCTACGATACCTCTTAATATAAGGAAACATTGCTAGTATTAGTTAAAAATATAATGAACACCTTGTTAGTAGAGAATATCATCATCGTGGGACCACAAACTTTGAACACTGGGTGGTTATGTTCACACAAATGATTCGGAAAGCTTGAAACTTCTAGCTTAGGTCCCATTTTTTTCAACTGCAGTATCCCATTCTTTGTTGCGAATGCTTTTTCAGCATTTTCCGTTTCCTTTGTTCGTCACCCACTGTTCACGAAGTTTTTTTCAGACTAATTACACTCTTGTCGAATCGCGCGAGAAAGTATTGTATTTCTAAAGCAGAATATAACTGTGAATAAAGGATCGCACAATAGAGCGAAAACTCTATGTGCAATCGTCTTCCGAGAACATGTCGCTCATGAATCACATAGGAGTGCTAACACCGTCCAACCGCGAAATGTTCTTTGAGGACCATACATGATAAAATACCTTTGATGATGAACTGATGTGACACATATGTATGTGAGGAAAACTTTGAATTCAGTTTGCTTCAAGATATCCTCCATCTGGACACTTGACCCATTTTTATGATGCAATGTTTTGTATAGAAATACATTTGAATCTAATATATGGAATTGTCCTGTCCCAGTCACGGTGTTAGTGGCCAAACTCCCCCGAAACGGTATAGGTAATTAAAGTTAAAAAAAACGGGATGGTTCGTCGAATGACATTTGATGAAATATTCGGATATAACTAAACGTTTCCAACTTCTTCCTTGACTCAATAATCGACGTATATCTCTGATATGTATAGACAAAACAGTTTTGTTTTTACCTGGTTGATACAGGGGCGGATCCAGACGATGTTTGAGGAGGGGGCCATATAGAAAGTCACGATTAAGGTTAGCGCGGAAGCGAAATTATATGGTAACCTTCTGAGACAAATGCTTTTTCATTAAAAGAATATCATAGTAAACATGAAATCTTCAGTTTCCTTTCAAGTATCAAAAGTACTTGTGTAAAAGAACGAGTAATAACTATTTTTATTCCATCAATGTATGTAGAATTTTGTATAAAAATTTTTTATAAAGAAAGTAAATAAAAACAACATTTTTCTTGAAAAACTTGGGTACAAAAGTGGATGAAAATATATCTCTTCAGGAACAAAACAAATGAAAGAGACAAAAATGAAAATATATGAAATAAAGAATCAAATTTCAAAAACTAAATAACAAATGTCAGGCTTCTATTCTTCTGACTAGCGTATCTTTGGATGATATCATCAACATTCAGACTGCTGCAGATGCCCCTGTGAATATGCATTTATGCCAATCCATTTGACCTGTCTTGGACCATTCTGGATCTTATCCAATCTTTCAGCCTTTTGAGTGTTGAAAAACTTTCAGGAGATATAACACTCACAGACAGGCAACATATAATAGTTCCAGAAGAATGTTCATGTTAGGAAACCAATGTTTGTTACATCCCTTCACAGCATTGTTTGGTATATTTTGCTTAGTATCCCTCATTTTCGTCCATAAATACATTCCAGAAACGATCTTCTGAAAGGACATTTCATCATCCTCCTCAAAAATGGTCGAAAACTGTTCAAGTATATGTCTCATACCTCATATATTTCCTCATCTGTTTTGTTTTCAGTTATTGATGGCACACATAGCAGGAGGTTGTATGAATTCAATTTAATTTTTGATAGTCTATCTTTCGAATCGAGGATAATACTATCAAGCAATGGGATGGAAACAGTTATTCTGTAATGGTCATCCACTGAGGTAACCGTAGGATTTGGTCTATGAAACATTCTCCCTGTTATTCTCGGCATCAAAAATCCAATATTCAGTTCTTTTAATCTCTGTTTAATGAAGCCCATTCGAAATATTCAGATACACGGAGAAAAAATTTCATTGATCACAAATCAAAAACCACTTCTCCCAAGCGAAAACTTCAACAAAATAGGGGACGAGTGAACTATGCATTTGAAGCAATTAACTCGAAACTTTTGCCGAGGTAATAACTTTAATACTTACAACCAATAGTTCAAATAGTCAACGTAAATTACCAATGATTTGAGATTATTTTATAGCAATAACTCTGTTCAACTAGGACGAAATGTTTACTTATTTATAACTCATAACATATATGATGAACACAAATGGTTGCGTTATAATCTCAAATCATCTCTCAATTAGCTCTCAGCATCACCTTCATTTCCCATTAATGTATGTTTCATTCATGATGTATTAGCACATTTTTTGAGACAAATTAGTTTTCTGTTGGAAGCAAATCGTTTCAATTTTGTTACTACTGGGTGTTTGTATTACTGCAAAGAACATTGTCTATATCTTTCAAATCATCATTTATTTGCCACAGATATTTTTCGATTTGTTCCCATTGCTTTTCATTCTAAATGTTCAATCGGTTGTGGCCTCATCAAAACAACTTTGTATTTTTTCTGGTATGGCTCTGGTTCCATTTCTGCTTTGATTGCCTTATCCAACTGCGATTTTTTGAATGAAGGGTAGACAACCATCTGATCGTTGTCATCATTCCATTTGAAAGGTATAGCCTTCATCACTTCGCCTGTCTTCACAAATTCTACTATTACCCATGGCATAGCTGCAACATAAAAAATTATAAGACTGGTTTTATCAATTGTATGATCTGAATTCACAAACACAATAGCTTGAAATTTCATTTCACTTCTAAGACGAAGAACATACGAACATCAACTATAATAACTATCCTATATAAATTATTTACCTAGGATGTACATCCGTACCTTTACCTCACCTAAACCCTATATTTAATTCACATGTTATCATCATTATATTCACACTTACCTAAAAAGTCCTCTCAACTCTCAAGTCCCCATTCAAGCAAAAATTCGTATAGTATTTTCCTGATCTCCTATATTTTATGGTCAGATTGAAAGCCGGTCACAATAACTAAAAACAAATCTCATCTCCGAGCCGACATCGACCCCACCACACCGCCCATCAGTGAACATTATTGCGATGTTGCCAATAATGGTGGATTTTTTAAATTAAAAAAGAGAATGAGAGAAATAATTATTGAATGTCATCGTGATATTCATGACGAGTTCTTGGTAAGAAGAAACAAAAAATGGCGACTAGGTGAAAATATAAGAACCCTTACATCAGGATATTTCTGATTACTTATAACTAACTATAGGTAGGTACTGTATAGGTAGTATCAAAAATCAATATGAGCTCTTGTAAGAATATAATGATTTTTTGTTTTTCAACAAAAGCCTACGAGTCTGTAGGAGAATCAATGGCAATCTTTGATCTTGGCGTTATTAGTGTTCATTTCCTCATAATATATCGCCATCTATCAGTAAACAGAACTAAGACTGAAACTTTTTATTCCACATGGACTACGTTCAAAACAAAACAATACGGTATCAGTGTGAAAAGCATGACCTATAAGAGATTATTAGTATATATATTATTGTATACCTAATATCTTGGATTGTTTATTCATTTCTATTATTTTCATGTTGAATTATATATACCTATTATCTGATGTTGTATGTCTGGTATGTACCTATCTGAATTCGATATTCTACTGATAAGGTTAGAAAATGATCCAATACATCTCAAACTTGCGTACCTAATTTGGGGAGTAATTACTAGCAATCGGCAACGTTGTCGGCTTGATGGATTTCGGCTCATGGAGGCCAAGTGGTTTTTGATTTGTTGGAAATGAAAATGAACTGGTTATCAATTAGAGATATATTTGCGGAATCGAAAGGACCGCAATTTAATGGCGAATAGGAAAGCATTTTTCTCAAATCAACTGTTATTGACCAACCTATAGTAGTTTTGTTGTGGACAATTAATTTTCATTTCTGCACAATGAAAAATCGTTAATCTCAAACTGGTGCTTTTTTTGTTAGTTGAAAAGCATGTGATTGGCTGCAAACAGTTTCTATTCTGACGAACAATCATTTTCATTCATAACAAATGATATTACTATTCACTCCATCAATAACATGATTTGAGACAAAATCGTTGAGAATTCACTACAAATGATGAAAATGATTATTTTAATTGTTTTGCCGCAAATCAGTAGACGCTTGTTTCAAATTTAGAAACTTTCATGGTAGGTGAGCGATACCAAATGAATCAATAATTTTGGTCCAGTTATTTTATTTTTCACAGGCAGTAATAGTTTCGCTAGTGATCAATACAAATTTCTGAATGAAATAATCATTTGACCCATTTTTCTCAGTGTAGTATTTAGAATAGGTATCATCCCTTTCATTTGGAAGCGTCAGAAGAGTGATACTAACAACATCGTTAGTTTGTTTTTTGTCTAAGTTTTCTTTTTGGAGCAAATTACTGAGTGACAGTGTTATCAAAAATATATTTGCCATTGCCAAACAGCAGGGTGCAATTACAAATTTGCAATTCCTCAGAGCTGTTCCGAAGTTTCTAGCTATAAAGACATACACTAATTTTTTCATTTATTCAAAATACCTACATTTTTACATATCCATGAGGTTCCCGAGGGGGAGGGGGCATGGCCCCATGCCCCTCTCCTGGATCCGCCCCTGGGTTGATATGGATATTGCTCGACTTTGACTTCTTATGTATCTCGAGTTCAAGACTCCGTCTCTGTTTATGTTCGGTGCTTATTTTACCCACTCGATAACTAAATCGACCTTCTTTTCCCAAGATTGTAATTACTGAAGATCAGAAGATAAGCAGGGTGAGTTCTGGAATTGAAGCCCTGTATGTATAGCAGATTAGGTATTTGAAAAACTCAAGGAACTATATCAACAAAATGACGTACCTACATGAAATGCACTATTGACATAGCAAACTAGATTATTCGCCATGAAGGAGAGAGAAGAATGATCATTCAATGAAAACCAAAATGAAACACCAAGTTGGTCGACCACATATATTCCTAGAATTATGAGGACAGTAAATGAATTTTTTCTGCAACCGACACAAAAGTCGGCCATTTTGATACCAAAATTAGCTCTTAAATTGACGTTTCTATTACTGACACAAAAATAGGTATGTTGCTAGGCAACATATTTAGTTCCTAGGAGCTAAAGTTGAATTTTAGTTCCTAGGAAGTTGAACTTTAGCTCCTAGGAACTAAAAAAGATTAACTGGACGTCATCAAGAATAAACAACATTGTGACGGTTGGTTATTTGGGTTGAGACGCGTACCTGATTTGTTTCCGATTTCAGCAGATTTGGCATTTCATACCCATGCTGGAGATATAAATACACCTTATTATAGTTTAGTATTGGGATTATAGACAGCTCAGTTGATTATTTTTGTTTTGATCAGGGAAGCCCTCAAGATTCAAATACTTGCTTGATCTGTATTTCATTCGTTATTCTCGGGATGGATAACTTGTTTTTGAACAATCACGGAAAGCAATAGTTTTTTTGTCTCAAACAACGATATTGTTCAGCTTCATTTGATTATAAAGTCGAACACAGTATAGTATGGAGAGGAATAAATAATCACTATCATCATTGTTGATATGCTCACTAACCTGACATTTTCCACGTCTTTGTTCCTATAGCTGGCATTGGCGCGGTATTTGCCATTAGAGCACCTGGTCCATACACAAATATGTCACTCTGTGGTTGTATTCATATTGAAACTACAATTCGAATATCCTAGAAAACCTAACCTGCTGTTAATGCAGGTAGAATATTCTCATCACATGGATTATTTGTCAATATTTGTTGCATTGCATACATATGGCACTGCATTGGTGGTTACTTCACATGTTTATTTGAGTTAATTGTTTCGGTTGCAGAAAAAATAGCATGTTTCATTCGGATCAAAAGTGACTTTGTTCGACTCGCAAATTTTGCTTTCGCTCGGCTTCGCTAAACGCTCCGCCTCGCAAATGCGAAATTCGCTTGTCAAACAAAGTGTCACATTTAATCCTATAATAAAACAATCTACTATTATTAAAAGTCTACCTATATCATCATTGGCGTACACCTCCATAATTTATTTCTCATTACTTTCGATAACACCTTATATGAATTCAAAAGGAATATTCGGCTTCAACTGAACGTTTCCAGTTCCTTCCTTGACATAATAATCGACGTATACCTCTGATATACCGGGTGTCCCAGTATACCTGTTCCAATAGATCACCCCAACCATTTCGGAAGATGAAAATTTGGAAATCACATGATCTACTACAATTCTAATAATTTGAAATTATTATTGAAGTCAAAATCATGTTCACAAAAATATCGAAGCCTACACTGCAATTCGTTCAATTTGAAATTTCAATTCTCGTTTTCTCCATCAAATCAAATTTGGAATACGAAGTGTGATACATCGTTGGAACGCTGATTTTGAGTAGAAATCAAAAATTGCAAAACATATACAGGGTGCATTTCGAAATAAAAGAGTTAGAGTGACCGGAAGT